GATTTGAATTTAAAACAAAAACAAATAGAAATGCCTCAAAACAAACAAACCCAAACAAACAAAAAACTACAAAAATAAACCTCCACAACTTGTATCAACACACTGAGACAAAAACAATGGGTTAACAAGTTTGTAATGTATAATATCTCAACAATTTGTTTACAGGTATTTCAGCTGACGCTCTCACCATGACGCCTAATATTTAATGCACTTCATCATTTCTTTTCAGGTCAGGCTATAAGCATACTGTAATCTAGCAAGCATAATTATTCCTGCAAATTTAGAAAGGCACAGCTTACTACCCCGAATTTCAACTACAGACAGATGTTCAGAAAAATAGAAAATACTTTCACCTAAAGTATTGTTCTGATTTCAAGACAAAATCATAAAAATTAATTCTATAATGAAATTATTTTAGGCTATTTTTTATTCTGGTAAAAATACTTTGGTAAAAGCTCTTCAGCATGTCCATATAGTCTAAGATTACACACATTTTCTCAGCTGAACAGAGCTTTTGGCAGTGAATAATCCCATGCACAGAAATCTTTTTATATTTTCTCGCTGTCACCCACACTTGATAACACAACTTTTAGCTAAAGGACACATAATTTACATCTTGTTCACAAGGGAAACTAAGGATAGGAATGACAGAAAACTACAGAAAGATAATACCTGAATTCAATTACTTCCATGATCATTTCAAAGCAGAAAAAAAAGCAAGAGAAAAATATGATCTTACTTTTGCTGATGGGTCAGTCTTCAGTACTCGGTTTGCCAAAGAAAGGAGAGGTTATGATAACAGCTGTTCATTACAATTCCTTCTTTACTACAAGAGCTTAACTCTGCCACTGGCTGGCTGGCCCATTTCTGCTAGCTTTAGCACACAACAGTGCCCCTAAAAGCTCCTCCTCTTGACAGCATCTGTCTGGATACAAGCACAAGCAAGGCTTTCCATAAAGCCATTTAGGTCCTGGGAACAAGCTACAAGTAAGGGAAACCATTAGAAGTAAATATTTTCATGACTAAGTCCAGGATTTGGCAGGCAGAAATTCATGCCCACTGATACCACCAGCTTTATAGTAGAGAAGTCACATCTTCACAGTGTTACAAGTGAAAACTCCTTCCCTGACAATAACTTGAATGATGCACAAAAAAATAGAAGCACTCTGATTTATTCAACATATCCGAGCCTTCAGAGAAGGAGGGTTCATTATTTGTTTCTTACCAAGCTTTTGTATTTGTGCAAGTAAAAAGGGAAAACATTGGTGAAGTATCCACACAAAACATTAATAACTTATCTAAATATGTGCATGTCAGTTATGGATGAGTCAGAAAGCAATTGCTAATTCCAACAGATGCCCTGTATAAACTCCAAATACTCACCTTTTTTTCTGGCATCCATGACAGCTGAGGCAAATCTACCTTCTGTTGTCAGAAATGCTGCCTACAGCTGATATTGTATCATGTCAAATGTATGTCCCATGCCAGTGAAAATGATACTGCTCCATAACTTTATTTGCAATTTATAGGCTCTGTGGACAATATGCCAGTACCTTCTCTTAATCTGGACACAGCTCCCTCAATAGACAATGATCATGTAATTAGACCAGATGAATAAAAGATGGAAGAAAAATCATGTATACGTTAGGTCCTATATACCTACGTATTTATTGTGCCTTACTCTCAGCTACTAATCAGCACATTAACCTTGTTTTCTCCGCATGAGCGCTAAGAACCATACTAAAATTAGGTCAGAAATTCAGATCAGATCAGCTGACTCAGCCCAGCAAGATTAGACAAAGCCTAGTTGCTGTTATTTTTCCCAATCCAATACGCTGTGTTTATCCTGCAATGTACAATGGATCCATACATTTTTCCCCACAATTAACCTATCAGAGCCAGACACCATGAGACAGCAATCACACTGAAGGTATATCAGTGCTACTGAAGAAACACAGACCAATGTATCCTTTGGAAAGCAAAGTGCACAATCAAACAAATTTTTTAAGGTCATTTTTCAGTTCTTGTTTCAAACTGCTCAGACTAATGCATTTCAATGAACTTCAGTCATTCAGCATAGTTATGAGATGATTTAGGTAAATAACAGCTGCTTCTCAATAGTGTTGTGTGTGAATACCACCACTTTATTAGACAAAGTATTACTCATTATTGTCTTGTGAATATACACAAACAGCCTTCTTCTAATAGAGGCCGTCTGAACACTAAAATTGAATAGCTTGTAAATAATTCAATAATTGGACTAGCAGGTAATTCTCTGCAGGTGCCAAAGGCTTTTGGCTGCTTTATTTTGATTCTCACATGCAAAAGAAGAGTATTTGTGGGAAGGCCCTCTCCTTCCCAAAAATCTACCTGCAGTTAATCACAGGGGATGGCTCCCTTGTTGCTAAGGAGATTATTTTCAGCTACTGGGAGTCTCCAGACTGGTAGCAGTTACCACTGCACATGTGCACCACTTGCTATCTAGGCCACGCTCTCAGGAATTAGGGATAATAGAAATACCCACCAAGACAAGGTAAAGACATAAAGAATATAGTACAGAACAAAGAAGAAATCAGTGATCCTACTTTCCCTTTCCTGACTGCTGCATTTCAATAGACAACACAGTCTTGGATGAATCCCTGGAGGTTACTAGAGAGAGCCAACTCAATTGCAATCAGCCTAAGTGACTTCAGACATGAAGGGACATTACCTGACTTGACTAAAGGAACCATGGTTTGCCATTGCTTTTAGTTTTTCCAACCAAAGGTTGATCTCAAGTATCTTTTTTTACCTCTCCAAGTTTACAAGGAAGAAAGAAAAAAGACTTAAAGAAAGTGCTTTTCAAGATTTCCTGAGGTATTTTCCTACATTGTTTCCTCAATCAGACATTATTCCCCCCTTCAGCATTATCGAGATAAGCCAAGTGGGGAGGTGTCACAGCACATGCCCCAGTGGAGATAGCCATGACAGAGTGTCACCACACAATTTCAGAAAGCTTTAAGCATTCTCCCATACACAGTAACACCTTACCTCATCAGAAGGCTTCAGGCTTCTGCCCACATAGAGTAACAGCAGGCCACTTCAGAAGGCTGCAAGCAACTGCCCTTCTCATTCTTTAGCCCAGCCTTTTATCCCCTCCTGTTGATGCACTGCACCTGTGTGCCCCTCACTGTTAATGCACTGCACCTGTGTGCCCTCTGTTCCCTTTGGTGGTTGGTCAGTGCCCCTGGGCACTCCATGGCTCATTGCTGTCAGTGCTGCTCACCTGCTTCTCACAGCTGTGCCCATTGGGGATGAGGCTCAGCCCAGCCCCATCCCAATCACCACAAACTGTGTGCCTACAGGGAAGGATCAGAGGGGATCACTGCAAACAGTTTCCCACAGAAGAGCACTGTACTAGGAAATGTTATCTCCAAACCACATACAAATACATGCTGTTCCTCTAATAAGCCCACTCTGTTGGTAGGTCCTCTACCTCCTGTCTTCTGGCTCTGTGACAGAGGATAAATATTCTGTTCTCATTGATCTCAGTTGAGTGTGGGCAAGAATTTCATGGTTTGGCTCAGCCCTAAATCATCTGTACTTCTCCAGAGCTCTTCATCAAATCACTTTGCCAAGATCAATGAACAAAACCACACAAACCAACCACATTGTAGGAAATACTGTCACTACTATTCAAATGTTGTAGAGAAACTTGGCTAGAGGACTATAAAGAAACAGGTAGTCCAAAAGTTACTCTCTCATGTCCCAAGAAACCTATTCATAACAAAATCTGTTCTGGTACTTAGTAACCTTTATGGTCGCACATATAAAAGTACATGCAAGCAGATTAGCCAGAGTACAGCCTAATTGGCTGTATTCACCCTAATTTCACATTATTCTTATAACTGACAATCCAAATAGTTCCACTTCCTGGAACATAAAGTAGCCATATTTTTGCTTTAAATTCCTTCATCTCCCTCCTCTCTCAAACTGTGTGTGCAGCTCTTTTCCTTTTAATGTTCCATCAAAATTATCAGACTACCAAGGCGTTGCTCAAGCGTTCACAGCACAGCATGTCTGTTATACCTGGGTGTACAGTACCCAAGACATAGCATAAAATTTAATCACTTAAAATGAAATACAGAAGATTCATGCTGGGGGAAAAGATTCAAAGGACCTCCTATGAGTTTATGTTCAAGCCATCCATTCACATAAATGTCAAGGATTTGGATGGAGGATTTACCTCTATTACAGAATTTTGCCTTCACATCTAGAAAAACAATTTTTTGTACTGGAAAATGTGTATGCAATAAATATTTATATCTATTCCATTCAACCTTCTTTTTCTCTCCAAGAGGCTACAGAGATTTCATTGATATCCACTGGCACAAGTGGCCAGGTCATGCAAGTGCTCCTCTCATTAACTGTCAATTAAAATCAATGGAATTGTTCAAGAAGAGCTGTTATAGGGTTCTGCCCATCAGGGGCTTGATCCATTTTCCTGTAAGTGATTGCAATATTGTTACTGACTTCAGAGATCACAGAATTGAAAGGGAAATGTAAATAATAGACGGTTTTTTGAAACAAACCTCAGACACCAGTGAGAAGGCTTTGAAAATTTACCAGATTTAAAACATCAGTTCAAGAAGAGTCTATTTTGACCTGTGAGACTGTCCCTGTCTTGCTCACACACAAATACATTTTTGCACAAATTATAAACTGTTCATCTAAAAGCACTAAGAGGATGACAACCCATTTGTCACTAGATCTACATCTATTCCAAGCACCCAAACTTTTTGTTACAAATCACACCTGCTCAAGAAGCCACACATGCTGCTCAAGCTCTGTCTACACAATGTAAATCACATGTGTTAGAGGCCTGACAGAGGCCAATGGTCTGTACTGCTTTTGCCCACAAGCTTCTTTGAAATCAACTGCTCTACACATATTTACCATATCTAAATCCCTTGCTTTTCATTACTCTGCCAGACCACTCATCTTTTTATCAAAATATTTACCGTTTTATTGCTTCTTCTTGTTTTCGGCGTTTTTCACTCTTTTCTTTCAAGTAAGCCAGGTTTGTTTCATTCCTCATGCGATCATTCTCTCGAGCAATGTCTGATGCATTCTGTATAACCAAGCCATCATAGGCCTTCATCCCCATATCTTCAATATACTGGAGAAAAGCGCCCAAAGTGACCTCCTCCTGATTAGAACTCATCATCTTGCAGGAGATAATGAACAAAGGAAAGCAACGTTTCCTGCAGGTTGAAAAACACATAATACCTTAATCAGTAGGAAAATAGCTTATGGTTTATGACAGCAAGATCATGTCAGTTGTAATTAACATCTCTGTAAGAGACAATTTTTCAGACTTTCCCATTTAAAGGATAATAAACAAAGCAATTCAGAGGACAGAACAACATTACTTGAGACAAGAGGAGACAAAACCAAGAATCTCTTCTTTCAGACAATGAAGATCCAAAAAATTACACTCTTTAAATCCCAAAAACCTTTCCTTCCACCCCTTCCCATTTCCTAGTACCCAACGGTTGCATAAACACTGCCATCCTGAATCTCCGTTTGAATTGAACTGAGAAGGTTCCATCACAGGACAAGAGGTCCTCTTTTACAGTTTAGATAAGGCTGCAACAGAGCAGATTACTGGAAAATAAAATCCTATTCTGACTACCAGAAAAAGTTCCTAATATCTGCAGGATATTCTAAAGTTCAGGTAAAAAGTATTGTTCCATTTTTTGAAACAAAAAAAGTTAAAAGCATTCTTCAGGCTCAAAATTCAGAAAGAAATATTGTGAAATATTTTCCTGTATTTCTTATTACTGTAATATGAACCCATGAGTCCTGATCATCTGTTGCTCAGCATCTTGAAGCTCCAAGAATGGACAGGAATGCCCAGCTGAGCTGGGACCTTCAGAACAGACCCTTGAGCTCTCCAAGAATCTGTATTCCAGAGGTATGACAGACACTGGGGTGTGCAGCATCCCCAGGTAAACACCTTGGAGCAGAAATACTTAGACCCTTGGGTCATTCCTGGGTCTGTGGCAGGCAGCCTAAAAACTCTTCAGAAAGGCCCCAAAGGTTTTCCATTCATCAACAGAACTCCTGGGAGTTGCAAGAGCTCTGGTGTATAAACACATTGGTAAATACTACAGGAGAATAAAGGCAAGGTAGAATTTCAAGAGACAGACTGTCTATCTCTAAAGTCTGTGCTGGATAGGACTAGATAAAACTTATTAGACCACTAAAATAGAAGTTAAAAAAATAGGACTGTTCCATCTTATTTTAAATACTGATTATTGTAAGGTCCAGAAGCATTACAAGCTTGAATGGCATTACCTGCACACAGCCCCTTGAGAAGCCCTCATCCCCCAGGCAGGGAGTTGGTGCAGGAGTCTCTGAGTGCCTTGTTGGCAGAGCTGGCAGCTGAACTCAGCTCTCTAAGGCACCTTTGCTTATTCACTGCTACAGCATTCCTCCCTTCCCTGAAGAAGGATGGCGTGGCTTCTCGGAATCAGCCTCAGAACATGCCAACACTACAGCTAGAAAGGATCTTATTGAATAGGCAATAAGAATCCTGTCTGCACACAGATTTTAGGAGGAGGGTTCCTGTGGAACCAGTGACACAAATCTTTCCCCTATTTCTTACTACACTGTCATATTTCTAATATTTATTACATAACTGGAGCAGTAAAATTCTGATCTAGGCTGGCACTGGTTAAAAAAAAAAATATTAAACAATCCTAAGGATTCTATACATCCACTCAGGGCCTTCAGATCTGGGCCCTGACTCTGAAAATACAAGGGATGAAAAGAGTAGAGAAATATATTTCTGCCCTTGAATGTTATCCCCCTGTTTTGATCGGGGGGAACTTTTGAAGTGACAATGGCAAGAACAAGCAGCTAGTTTCAGGCACTAAATACTTTAAAAGCACACTGATAATTTTCCTTTTTTCTCTCGTGCCTGCATATCAAAGTTATTTCTATACAATGGTAACACAACTGTTAAAATCATAAAGACTCAGAGGATGCAAAGGGTTTTCTCCTATTACCTCTCCTGCCTTCCAAGAACAACCTTTTCTAACAACTAAGCCTGAACATGAAAATAAGGCTGATGTTGAGGGTCGCTGAAGCCATCTTTAAGCATTTTTAAGCATGGGTATAACCATCTCCTACAAATCCCTGCAGGGTAAATGCAGTGAAGGAGGTCTTAGTGCATCCCAATGTGCCTGCATGCCATTTGACACAGCTCTGACAGTGGAGCTGGCTGGAACTCTGCTGGGCTGGGATATGCATTCAGCAATTCTATATATTCACCATAAGTAGCACACTGTCTGCACAGGAGGATGTTGGAAGGCTGGCAGTGAGCTGAATAGACTCCATGAATGTTATGATTCTTCAGCAGACATAATTTCAGACTAATTCCTAACCTTGGTGATCAAGAAAAGTAAGGCCAGATATCAAAGCCCCTTCCTGAGTCTCTCTCTACAGCATGAAGGCTACAAGATTAAAAGCAATGCTAACAGCACAGACAACTCTAACTCTCCCTTCTCTAAACTCCTCAAATGAGATCTGCTTTTTGATGGTTAAAATCTGGGTTGTTTCCCCAGTAGATGGTTAGTTTATTGTGTATTTAATTTTTGACTTCTAGCAAAACCTTTTTTTCAGCATATGTTGAATGAAATTCAAATAGATCTGCACAACAGAGAAATCTCACCCTAGTGACCTGAATGCCAGTATTATCATTGATTGCTACAGTGACCATGTTTTATTTCTGAAATATAATAGGAAATTTTATCCTGAAGATAACTTCAACCGTGTTTCAATAAATGCAGTTCTCCTCCACTTTCCTCCAAGATACATGATATGCTTTACATTGCCTTTTGTGACTATACTGCATTTCTTCCCCTCATTTTTTCCTTTATTTTCAGAGATCAGAAATGAGCTGAGAATTAAGGATGTGCTGAATCTCCTTGTGTTATGATGTTTATTTTTTAAACAGGAGTATGAGGTCAGTCCAGTTGCAAAAGAATTAAATAAAAAGCCCCTTTTCTGCTTCATGAACTGAGGAGAGACTTTATATTCTGGTTTGCTAGAGATTTTTTTTATTACTAAACACATGCAAAAATTTACTATTTATTAAATAGATCAAGATCTCTTCTTTGTCTTAACAGGGGTCCAATCTCACAGCAGTACTGAGCAACTGAACTCCTCCTGTGACTGTTGACCCTCATGTGCTTGTGACAGCTAATTCAGTTTGGGGTACTCCTGGGGATAGCAGGGGACACACTGGTATTTCAGAACCTTGAACCTGCTCTAATGGCACTAACTCCAAAAAGCCTCTGTGCAAGCAGCAAGCATCTTCTGATTCAAACTCCTTGTACCTCCTGTATATGTGGTATTTTACAGTTTCACTATGTTTACTAATAGTGAACGGTTGTGCATGCTACACTTAAGCAGGGATTAAAAATGCAAACAGCAGGAGCAAAAAGCTTAATTAATTACTGTAAACATTTTTATAGTCTTAGTATTCCTTGGGCAGCACACCAGGACCAATTTTACTTACAGGTATTAATGCCACTTCAGAGAATATGTTACCTTGAAAAATGTGTTCAGTAGCTACAACAGGCTGCAATCAACACGTACGGCCCCTGGAGTCCCATGGCAGTGCCTGCCTGTCCCCTCCGTGGCAAATGGCTGGACAGCACTGATCAGCTTTTGAGCAAAGGTTCTGATAAATAGTATACTCAGGCAGTGAGCAATTCCTAACCATTTGCCAGGGCAGATACAGGCACAAGCAAGGGTTCTGTTTGAGTACATTCATATTTTATTAAAACTGTGCAAATGAAAATGGCTAAATAAGTCATGTTAGCTGAGGCCCCATGGTCCTGGTATCCCTGACATGCACACTGTAGTCAGGGACTTTGTTAGCCAGTAACAAGGACTATATGCAGTCACCTATGTATTTGTAATCAAGCTGCTTTCAATGCATTTTATTTTCTGAAATCAAGCAGTCCTGGAAAATTCTGACAGACAGTTGTAGCACTTGAGAAATTCTTTAGACACTCCTTTCTTTTCCCCTTCTCATTGTGAAGGAACAAAAGGAGACAACAGGGCAGAGGAAAAGCCTTGGAGTTCAGCGTTTGAAGCTAACATACTGAGAGGTCAACAAAAATTGTTTGGAGGAACTTGATTCTGACTGTTCACTGAGCATCTTTGAAAATCCATCTGAGCACAAGGACACAAAAAGGAGTTCTCCATCAGGTACACTTTGCTTCTTAAAGACTAGCACTCTGTGAAACCTCACTGAGAAAAAGCCACAATCACACTCATCTTGCTCACTGACACCTGCCCCTTCAGGTACGCCCAGACCAGAGCTCGTGCTGGCACAGCTCGTACATTCAGCTGTCAGCACGGGAGGAGAAAAGCAAGAAAGATTTTTATTTTTTTTTCCCTTCCCTGCCAATGCATCTGGTTTACTGGCAAGGGCAAGCAGTCCCCTTTCCTGGTTTGCCTAAAAATATTTGCATAACTAAATTAAAGATCATTGTATTGATTCAGGTACAATTTCTGTGAGAGCAGAGTGCATTGTGTTTCACAGGACATTTGCATACCTTACTTCTAATCTAACCCTTTGCTCTGATGCCTCACACACAGCATTTTGGATCAAACCACCTCCTTTTCACATGATCAGTGTGCAAAAATATTGATTTCAGAATATGAGTAATCAGCTGAATATCACAGTATCCAAGCAGTGCTACATGTGAAGATTCTGACATGCCATTCTCTCTTATTCACATCAGGATCCCCAAAATATCATTGCTTTTCAGCTTGCTTGACAGCCATAAGCTGCAGCTGTGCTGCATTGAAAATTGGCAATGCTGACATTAAACTGAAGAAGCTTTTTGAAGTAATGACAAAGGCACTGATTGCCTTCTTCCAAACCAGAGAGATTTTTTTAAAAAAAAATTAGCATAGAAGAAGAGACCATGGAAAAACAAGTGTGGGTTTGCCCAAAGTCCTGAGTCCAATCTCAAATGTATAAAGGCCTACTACACACCTCTCCAGTACTGCCTGATTCCCTCCCAAACACTGCCTCCTCTCTTTGAAAAAACATCTGCTTTCTCATTACCTTTTAACTCCTTCCACTAAATTCATTACATCCGAAGGATTTTGCACAAACAGGGATAACCAGCCATTCAACCCTCGAGTCTGAGCTGTTGTATTCTAGGTTCTTGCAAGAATAAAAGCAGCCAGGCCAGCCGTATCCAGTTTTTACAAACTGCTGACCACAGCAGCACTAATAAGGACCTAATGGTATTGGATGCAAAAAAAAATACTTTCAGTGAATCAAGAAAAAATTAATGAGGGAAAAATATACTAGAGACTACTTTGCAGAACTCTGTCTCCTATCCTAACTGTGCTTTATAGCAAGTGATATTTTAAATATCCAAACAAGTGAATGTGATGAGACAAGTTACTAAGAAATGCCTTTTAGAGATGTATTCCCTGCTCATTCTTAACAATAAAATGACATTTCTGTTTTCACATACAGTAATGCCAGAAATTATAATGTCAAGGAGGAAAGACCTTCTGAAATAGGCTGCAACCTTCCTACTACATATCATTTGACAACTACATATGCAGCTATTTAAAGAAAAATGAGGAATCACTACTGTCATTTGAAAGTAAAAATACGCCTCATATTCTGGCTAGGATTGCAGATTATATACCTGGTGCTCATTGTATTGCACAGCATGAGCTCTAGCACCTGGGTGAAATCACTAAAGCTAAGCAGTGCTGAGCCCTTCACTTAAAGAGGTTAGAAGTGTCTCCTTCAGTAGACTGAAATTGCTACTGCATGGGTTTAAAGCAATAGTCAATTTCTGCAGATGTCCTACCTTTGATAGGGGAAAGCTGTGTTCCCCATAGTTTTAAGAACTAAAAAAAATAGCCTGGGCCTTGAACTTTGGCCCTCTTTCAGGGTGCCTTTTGAAAAGGAAAAAGGTCCTTGTTAACAATGACTCCTCTATGACTCCAGGATGTTAAAGCTGTTGTTTACTTTGCAATAAAGCACTTCTATCACCTTTATTCCCAGAGGAAAATAAGGCTTCCTCCTAAACGTGTGGATGCTGGACAATTGCAAACCTAGATTCAGAATGGCCAGCACTAAAGTGCAATTATGACTTTTTATCATCCCATTATTATGCAGACAACTTATAAATAACAACAAGAAATAAAACCACACAATAAGCAGACATATACACACATTGTCTATGCAAATAGGAGTGCATTTGGACTCAGAAGAAATTACGAGCTTCTTGCTGATGGACTTATTTTTTTCCTCCTCTTTAAGAAAATGAAATGGAGATTTCACTACCAGCAGCATCATGTTAAGATGCTGTAAAATATTAATGGTGCAGTGGGTCTGATAAGTGACTATCATAGATGTTAGAAATTATTTCAATTAATTCATCAGAAAATACAAAAAAAATGGTTTTAATTATTTAACAGTGCTTTTTACAAACAAAAAAAAATCAGCTGCAAAATGTCTTTATTGCAAGCACAATCAACATGTGAAGTACACAAAACCAGTCAAATAGACTTCAGCTTTTAGTTTAGCAATGGCTTAATATCTTCTAAAAATCCATGCAACCTCATCACTATGCATTCTGACAACTCATTATTTCATTTTGTAATGTTATTTTTTTCATTCTAATTAGCACCATATTTATTAGCATGCTCATATGATGTATTAAAACAAGTACGTACCAAAATTCAAGTCCACGGGGACCGCTAAGTGCAATAATCAAAGGTGACTTTTGCCTGTAAAAGCCCTTTCCTGTGGTTATCTCAGTGCAGTCGGAAGGGATATTTCAGCACCATAAGAAACAGATTTTCAGTTAGGCTCAGTTTTTTCTTCAGTTAAAGTGCATTAAATCTTGTTGGCAGAATTGCCCTGATTGTAGAACTCGACATCACTATAAGTCAATGTGTTATGTTACAGATCTTCTTAACATACGATTAAAATGGCATGGAAAGTTTGGCTTTAAAAATGAAGTGGAAAGAAAAGACAGGTGCTTGCTTCTTTAAATCCACATTCAGAGAGGACAGGGTACGGATAATGGGAGGGTATAAACAACACCCTGCGTTGAGGTCCAGCAGAGAAGAAACAGGATGATTTTTACCCACTTCACAACACAGACGATTACAGCACCATCATATGCACTAACACAGAGATTTCTAAGGTGCCTCATTTGAATATGTTCTGTGGAGACAAAAAGAAAGGAATATAAGGAACAGCAAATATCCTATCCAAATGGCTTCTTGCAGCAGGAAAGATGCTTGCTCGCTCATTGCCACTTACAGAAGGTCTGAAACAGTCTGGCTCGTGGCATCGTTCTCTGTCTCTCCCCCGTGACTACAGGCAGGCTTGCTCTCTCCAGCTGCCCGTGTCCGTGGATGCTGCTGCTGATTAATCAGGGATTCTCAAACAAAGAGCAAGCCTACCTTCGGGTGCCAGCAGGACTGTGGGGCTCCTCTCCCGCTGCAATCCGGCTGCAACCAGCATCCTAGCACCTCGGACAGCTCCGCCGCGCCGGGCCCATGGACACGCGGCACGCCGGAGCTGGGGCGCGCCGGAGCCGGCGCGGCAGCCGCGTCGCTCCCGCCGCCGAGGCTCGGGCGGCGGCACAGCCTCCTAGCTAGGCAACAGTCTCGCCCTTATCGCCACTGCACTGAAGTCTGATTAGCAAATAATCCAGTGGGGGGGAGAGGGGAGGAATCTGCATGAGCAACACTGTACATCACATGGAGTCTATAGGTAGGAAAGAATATGAAACAACGCCCTTTCCCCCTCCTTCTCCCTTCCCCCAAAAAAAAGAGAAATTGTTCTTCCACGGAGAATGTAGTAGTTAACCTTTAGCCCATATTATGGCTCAAGGAAATGAGTAGCCACTTAAAAGCAACACCTAAGCCTCGGTTTGATACCTCACATTGATGTATCTTTTGCACTCACCCTCACTGAAAAGCAGTGCAAGGCACACAATTACTGCTGACGCAGATGAGAATGCTGCTTGGGGAAGGAGGGGAGGAGCTTCTCAGCCCATCAAAACAACCTCCCACCACCTGCTCCCATTGCACGAGAACAAAACTACGCAGCTCGGACAGACTGAGCGTGACATTTATTCCATTTGCCTTATATTGACATGCACACTCTGGAAAGAAGCATTCTGTTTGAAAAGCATTCAGGGTGAAACTACACAGTTTTATGCTCATCCAGAATTTGTGTAATGGTTTGGAAGAAAACATTCCCTTTCTTCTGAACCGGATCAATCTGTGTTATAGCTCCTCCTTGCAGAGTATGTGCAGTTTTGCTTTCTCTCCCCCAAACCTGCAGCCTGGACACAAAGCAAAAGCGTTCACTCCCTGCACCAAAGCCAGGGAAAGGAGCGATGGCTGAATGTGCAGAGATTGCATTATCCCATTGTCAAATGACATTTCATTCTTTCTTTGAGTTACAGGCATATTTTTCTTTAGCATAAATCTTGATTCTGATGTTACAGTAACAGTTGAATTTATTCCTAAAACTAATAATAGAAATTATGGTCATGGAATGAAATCCTTTCAAAGTAATGCATGTTCACATGAAAAACTCTGCTGGTACATAAATAAGACCTCACCTTCAGAGCACAGGAGAACTCTGCAGATTTACTACCCCAAAACTGGAATATCAACATTACCCCATGTTCAACAGCATTCAAGATAGCCAACTAGACAGATTGAAAAACACAGTGAGCACCTTCATGCATTGGAATCACAGCCTGAAGAAAGCCTGGTGCTAAAATTGTCTCTCACATTGACTGGTAATACATTTCATGCGTTTCACTGTAGTAATAGTGCATGTCCCAGTACACCTCTTGCAACCCCATGAAACAGGGAAGTGAATTTTCCTCATGACATGCCCAAGAGACCATTTCAAAAGGAAGGGTTACAAAGCCTGAAGAACAGGGTTTGAAGATATGGAGGGCATTTCTTTCTGTTAAGGAAAAAGATCTGGAAGGGGAGCACCTACAGTGTAGAACTGGAGGCAGTCCTGTTAAGAGAGCTCCTTCCCTAGCCCAGGGGCTAGCCCCCAGCTCTGCTTCTGATTTTTTACTTCCTTCAAGGATACTTTAAGAGAAGCTGTGGCCATATGGTAATTGGGAAACTTTTTAATTTTCATCAGCTGGAGATTCCTGTCACATAATAGCCTCTTATTCCCAATACTTTTCCAGAATTAAAGACCTTCTCTATCTCTGCCCTAAGTCATGCACTGAAAACAGAGAAATTGCACAGTCAAACTTGTTTCCAAGTTACTTTAACAAGGCTATCACTAAAGTCATTACAATTTCATAAGCAACTTGAAGCACTACTGCTCTTAAAGCGTGAAACACTTGCCTATGTCTTCACTGCATGGTTCATCCCAGTAACAGGATTCCCTCAGATACAATCCTGACTACCTATGTTATTGCATCTTTTGGCAATTTCCATATCTTCTTATACTTGCACCTGGGAATCATGGGTTCCTAGGAATCATGTGTCCATCTGCTGTGGAAAGAAACATCCTTTTTTCTTTCCAGTAGAATTGTGGGAAGGGCACTGGAGTTACAACATCTGCAAGGCTGGCAGTTCCATTCCTGGTATTGCACATAAATGTTTATGATTTAGTGCACAATCCAGGAAAAAAAGGACCTACAGACTTGAACATGGCATCTCCTGCATCAATGACAGAGGGGCTGGATCAAAGTTCAGGTAACATGTTTTGTGTTGATCATTGATTTTTCCACAGGTTTCTGCAGAACAGTGCTATTCACCTTTAAACATCTTTAACAACAACCCTAATGAATCCACAAATGACTTTCACTCCTTGGTTATAAAAGAAGCCTAGTCAGCATGAATATATGCACCTCCACAAATTACTGCCTGAGTTCTCATGCTGCAGAGGCCAACACCTGCCTTCCTGAGCTCCAAAAGCCAGCAGTGGAGAACCATGCATTCCCCACAGTAACTGCCAATCCTCTCTTCCTATCTCCTTTGCTCCACATCCTTCCCGGAGTCTACAACCACTCAATTCCAGCAGATTCCCCTTGCATTTTCTTTGAATTTCTGAAGAACATGTGCAAGGCTTCATTACATACCTGAAAGATTGACCCATTTTATTTCTGTATGTGTATGCACATGCTCACACATATATAACAAATATACATAGAGAGAGATGTGGCTTGACCTGTGGAGCTTGACCTGTGGTTGACATTTGCAAACCAGGAAAAGAGAACATGCAAAATGTGCTGTGGAACTGCTCATTGGCAACTACTAAAAATTGTTGTGGGACACCCCAGTTTCTGCCTGGCCATGCTGGCAGTGGGCTGGAGCACAGAATATGTAATGAGGAGACAGAAACCTCTGCAGGAGGCTCCTTTGTCCAGGGCATGACAAGTCCTTTCAGCCTCAGTGATAGGTTGAGGATTTGCAAGGCCTGAAGATTGCAGGCAGCACAGAGACAAAGGGCTTTCAGGAAGAGGAGAATACTCATTTAAGATCCTAACTACCACTTAGTGACTGAGAAAGACAGTCTGCCTGTTCCTGAACTAAGAGAAGCTTGAGGACAAATGGATTAGCATCAGTGCCAGTGATTCAGTCTCTGCTTGGCTGGTGAATGGAGGAGAAAGGTTCTCCAAAAAAAGCAAATCCCAGGGCTGTTTCCAGGCCTGAACCTGATAACACCTGAGTTGATGCACAGACTGTTATGTAATTATTTACATTTATGAGGGTCAAAAGGTGCTTAGATTTTTATTTGGATTAAAACAGAGTTAATAAATATTTTTGAATGGAAATTGGTTAATTTGGTAAGCCCAGAGCTTACCATAACTTGGACCTTAAATAGACATCTCTTTTGTTTGTTCATGCTCTTAGTACCCACCTACCATCATGCTAAGCAAAGAGAAAACTTAAAGATCTATTTGCAATTATTTTTCAACCTGACACGCTGAAATACTAAATGGAGCCTTCAAGGCTGCTTTTCCCAAATTGTTTCATTCTATGCCCGAGATAAGCTTTAACATTCATGCTTTTCCCCCTCAAGCATTCTCATAAACCATTGAAGTTGTGCAGTTGCTCCCTCTCCCACCCTTTTGCCCCTCTCTCACTCCTGACACACACACTGCTGCCATGGCAAGTAAAACTACTCACACAATGAGAGAAATGGAAGCTCTCAGTGTTCCATTGCAGCATTTGTTTCAGCTGTTTCCCATCTCTCTGTAGCATTCTTTCACTTCCCTGGAGCACACTAGCTCTATCCCTCTCAGCAACAGACTATCCACCACCACCATGCACATTTCTCTCCTCAGAGTTCTGAGAGGATTCTTCTAAAGGTAAAAGAGTAGAGGGGTCCCTACTCATGTAAAAAGCCAATTAAAGTTAAATGCTTAACTGCCATCTGTGCCTTTAAGAAAAATCTCTTAATTTTCCCCAGTGATCAGGTTTTTTCACATGGGACCAATTTTGCTGTTATTGCTCAGGCAAAATTCCCATTCAAGTCCACAGGGAACTTTGCCTGAATACAAAATATGGAGCAAAACCTTGTGCTTATTTGCATAGACCACAAATCACAAAGATCACATCCTGATGCAAGTGACTTATCCTACATGACAGCTAGCACAACTAGGCTATTTTTAACCATTATTTTTTGTAAAATATTTCATGATATTTACCATTCAAAAAAGAGTCAATTGATTCTTTTTTCTTAAACTGGATTAGATGGAAAGATTCTGGCTGCTTTCCAAACCCCTTAATTACTAAATGGTACATTTTCCACAGAAATGTTAAGCTATAAGTAGTTCTTCTGGAGCCAGTTAGCTCCTAGCTAAAATCAATTAAAGCTGGTAAAGATACATTCTGTGGTCAGGTCCCAAATACAGACATCTGTATTTATAGCACAGTGGATGCTGCTAAAATCCCCCAACAGAGATGCAGTTGCACTGGCAAAACTGTGCTCTCACTGCTCAGCTCATACAGGGGGCAGTAGGTGGGTTTATTACTCCAGGATAATCCCAGCTGCGCCAGTAGATGTGCCAGTACTCACATGATGCTCTATTTGTGCTCTGGTAGCCTCAGTTTTCTAGCCCCAAAGAAGCATTCTTTTTCCTATGGAGTACAAAGGCCAGGCAGTTTAAGCTTGTTTGTCACCTCCCCACCCTGCTGTTCATTCCCACTTGTGAGGGCTTGCAGGGAACTGGGTCATGGAAATGATCCAGAACAGAACTAATTTTGGGTGAGAATGAGGGAGAATCTGAAAAAAACAAAAGGATGGTGTTCCTTTCAACCAAATCACTTCCTTGCACTCCACAATGCAGAGGGCACTTCGCAGCGTGAGAATGGTACCCCTGCCAAGGTGATTCGTGACTTTTACTGGGGTGAAAATTCCCCATGCTACAAACACTGCTTTGCTGGGAATGAGTCCAGTGGCCAGGCACTGGTGCACTGGGACTCAGCCTGCTGAAGACAATCCTGCAGGCAGCCAGGTAATGCTCCCTGTCCCAGAAACCACAACTCTGGTGAGTTTATGCAACCACCCAGCTGCCTTAAGGCAGAAAAGAGTATGTACACAGCACACAAATGTGATCCTGTGTGTAAGTTGCAAAGTGCCGTACCAGACACTTGACAATCTCTGTGAATTCCAAATCTGTATAAACTGGTACTGCAGCCTAAAAAACAGAACCAAGAATGGAGCTCTGCTTCCCTGCCACCCTCAGCTCTTCCTTTGGCCTTATTCTGGCACAAATGTCACTTGGCCGTGTGGTGAAGCAGATTGGGAAGCTGATCAAGCTGAGAACTAGCCTGGGATTTTGGCACCGCATGGATGTTGTTATTTGTGAGAAGACCACCCTGCCTATGCAATCAGTGGGCAACAGAGACTCAGTACATACCAGCAGATGGAAGGCAGATCAGTTGGGTCTCATTCACGAACATCCAACTTCTTGCTTTTATCCAAGCTGGAGAGACACTCAGCTGTGAGCAAGGAGCTCTAGTGAGCTACAAAACATCCTGAACTCTGAAACAACTGATGATGAAGTCTAGAGCAAGAGGTCTTGGAATCAGAGATGAGAAATTCTCCAGAAACTTGAAGTCTCCTATCTGCACTTATTGATATAATCTGCAGGGTTTTTTCCCAGTACTACAGAAAAAGCAGTCCCATAAATCCATTAAGAAATGGGCAAAGATGGGGAAAGTCAGCTTTATTCACGTTCACAAAAAAAGCATCCGGAGCACTACATAAAATCCCAGTAAATATCTGAAGACTGGAAAGACTCAAAGAAGAAATTGCAGTTTATACTATAGGACTGACAAAGTGGCAAAGTCATCTATTAAAACATAGATTTGCTATGTACATTAAGATGGTATTTATGAGTAAATTGCTGCTGTTGGTTAAATTCTTTAAGGCGCTAACTGTAAAGAAACTGAAAGATGCTATTTGTTCAATGAAATATACTTTGTACCTATAAGACACACAACTATATAATGTATTTTTAAATGTGTTTTCCTTCAGTACTTAATAAAAATCCACATGAAAGGTTTCTTGCTATATACTTCAGAGCAAGACAGGAGGGCAAGTGAAATATGAATGAAAAAGCTGTTAGACCTCTAGAGAAAACATGCACAGCTCAGTGAGCACTAGGGAAACCAGAACTGAGGAGATATGATTTGAAAAAAAGAAAACAAAAAGAGAGAAATTAGAGAACATTGGGAAGATGATTTGAGCCAAAGAAGAAATGGTCACAGCAGAAGAGATAGAGGGCATGCACATGTGCTTGTTTCTTTGTTTCCTATTCCTAATGAGACAAAGATGGGCTCAGTAACTCCTGAGATGAAAAAAATTATCTCAAAGAGGTTTACAGGCATGAAAGCTTCATAAAGGGACTGTGAGTGGTGAGGAGGGCTGGGTACCTCACCCTGCTCATATCACCCAAACCAGCGAGTCCCACTCGGATAGGCAGCAGCAGTGTGAGGAGCTGGGTAGGCTCAGAGCTTCCTGAGGGGCTGTGGGCAGCAGGGTGGGGACATGCTCAGTCTCTGGAGCCTGACCCAAGCATGGAGAGCTGCAGGTGGGTGATGGAGATGGGCTGTCGTGCAGGCAGAAGGCACTACTGGCAGTTTGCCCTGGTGGCTCATGGCCAGGCTCCCCCAGCCCTCCTTAGTTGTTCCTGACCTAAACCCTGCACAATGATCCAAGCTTAACCAGCACCAGGGGAAGATCTTATTGTCAGAACAGGCTGGTGACAAGGTGAGAGGAAATGGGATAGCCTGTTGCCATCAGCTGACCAGTTCCCCTGGTCATTGACCAACCAAGATTCTGTGAGGTCAACAGGGAGCAAAAGCTCAATTTGCTCCCATCAGCTCAGGGAGATAAGTCTCACTTTAGGCATTCTGAGGGACTAGACAAGGACTATGTTAACAGTAACTATTCTCTTACAGTCAGAAAGTCCTATCTCCACAGAGAAAAAGGCTGAGGTTTGCAACATGTAAGTCACAGTAAACACTTTGACCAATATGAGCAATTTTTTCATGCCCAGATATAAAACAAAATTTTAAAAAATCAAATTCTTCTAATTACTAATGAAAGAGCAATTTCCTGCTGGCACTCCCTTAGTAAATTCTTAGGAAAATCAGTTTTTTCCTCAGCTATGGCTGGATAATCATCATATGTCAGTTAATGTATTTCTGGTTTTCCCTCCTGCATATTTTCTTAGAGAAAATATTATGATCCTTCATATTCTCTCAGTATGAAAACCACTCCTATCACTGGATGAGCTCATATTGCCACCACTCAGGAAGAAAGGAATGTAAATGAGGAATACCAATTAACCCCTTTACAATTAAAAATATCTCTCTCTATTATATCACCCATTAGTGATACTCTAGTTAATGGTCTGTCGACATTTCCATTAGACCTTTTCCCCCTGCTCCCACACAGAACTAAATCCTGGCTAATCACCTTGACTATACCTCTATGGATTTACACAATACATAGACATGGCTGCAATGAGGCAAAATATAGATTTCACTGTTATCTTGAGCCATTAGATTCTCCCAAGTACCTGTTTTCTAATGTATCATGCTTAATACTCTGTACTCCAAATACACTGAATAATTTTGCAGGATTTTTTTTTCCAGTGTTACAAACACTTCATGTGTCAAAAGCTCAAAGTAATTGCACAGACTTATACTAAATATACACCATGAAAATTGTGGACTGAAGCTCAGTTCACAGCAGACTACTTTTTCCCAGTATATTTCACATTATACCATGCTTTTTTTTTGCACTAGATGTGAGACAGTGTGTTACATTTGGTGCCACACACTGTAATACCTAGAAATGACAGGGTGAATTAAGGACAAAGCTCCAGCCTTAATAGCTTAAGATCCCCTGGCATCCTTATGGTCAAACCACATTCTCCACACTTCTGCAATGTATTTCTCTGTGTGTGTCAAATTAATTACAAACGTATCACGTTCATATATATATATTGCATTTGTTAGTCCTTTCAACTCTCAAAATACACTGAAGCATTTTATAGTGTGCTCATGATCAACCATACTCAGTTCAAGAGCTGGCATACTGGAGAGAATAAGAGCTCTGTGCCTGATAGGCAGATGGAAGAAGGGAGAGGTATACAGTGTGAATCCAAATCTAGAGTTTAACCCTTGTTTTCACATGAGATTTCTCAGTACATTTATGAAGGTATTGTTTGGTGTCTATAAGCATCTTGGCACTATTTTTAGTCATGAGCTTGCACACAGCAATTCAGCTCTGCCAGATTTTCCTGGCTTGTTTTTAATCCCCAAATAGAGGATCCATAGCTCTGATGAAAACTAATTAAATACCTCTTGTACACAGACTACCCTTCAGAAACAAAACCTGCACTCTTGCTCACCACAGTTAAGTGTTTAATACAGTGTGACTGGTTTTGTTTGGAATTACTGTTTGCAAACTCTAATTAGACTAAATGAAAATGACTCATATTTTATATATTACAGCTGATAAAATACTGGTTGGAAAAACTGTGTATAAGCATGCAAACAAATGCCACCACACACAAGTGCCAGAAATACTGATCCCTAGCAGCCGGGGAAAGATGTCTTTTATTTTAGAGACTATTTGAATTTACAATATCCTGGATTCATGAGGCTACTTAAGATCAGACCATTTGTACATATGTAATACCAATTTTGTTCAATCTATATTTTAAAAAAAATCAACTTCTTGCAATATATATTGAACATTAAATTGTTTATTATCTAAACTGGACCAAGTATTTGCTAAACTAATCTCATCCAGAAAACCATACGTTAATGTGCAATAGAAGTTGCAGTTCACATCTTCCAGTGTAAAACTCCTGTAAAACAATGCCCTCAGTTTCCTGGAAAATGGGCCTGGCACTGCTAAAGGCCAAGCACAGAATTACGTCTTTCTGTGACAAAATTACCTGTCTGTAGAACAGCCCTGAAACCAAATTTTTTTTGCCTGGTCATACGGATAAGAAAAATAAATACTTTTTTTTTTTCATAAATACTCAGCATTACACATAATATCAAGAATGATGTGTTCTGCATTGGTGGAGGGTAAATGAAAGAAATAAACAGGAATAGCCTTGACTGAGATAAGTTTGTATGTTTAGGGACCAGTTACTCTGTCACTGTAAATATGTAGCAGTAAAAACCTGCCAAGCAACTAAAACACAGGCTGGGGATGATGGAGGGATGGGCAGAAAAAATAAAAAAAATATTTATCATGGCACCATCATGCATAGAGCCAGCAATAAACTATGAAGGTGATTGAGACTTTTTCTCATACTATCAGTGTAATTTTATTTTCTGTCAGAGTGGATGAATAAACCACAGGTGGTATTAAGAACAAAACTTTGATGCAAGTGCTGTTACCTACCCTGGTATGAAGAAACTGCAGCTCCACCTTCCTGCTGAGAACAATGCCAAGGGTAGGTGAGTGTTAACGGTGCACCAATCAGAACCAGTGAGAAATTCCATGTGAGAAAAATCTTCAGTGGGAAACGGTCTCAATCCATTCTTTCTAAATTAAAAAAAAAAAAAAACCAAACCAAAAAAAGGCATCAAGCTTTCCAGAAAGAGTATGATAGCAGACAGAAAATGAAATGCAGGCTTGACTCAGTTTCCCAACCTTTCTTGATATTGAAATTATAACAGGAAAGAGGAAATGAATCTTCTACCTTAAAGGGGAGAGGAGAGGGCTGAGAAAGCACAATTGGGAGTATTTGTTGACTTGAGAAAGAACAGATCCCATAGCAAAAGAGATCTTGTCACCTAAAGACATTTTAAAGAATACATATTAACTTGAAATAATTAATCCTTTCTGAATTAATCCCTGGAAAAGAGGATCAAAAGGAAACATTTGGAGTAAACTTGTGGTTTGCCTGAACTTATTTCAAGTTTCTGAGATTAAAAAATAGAATCTTTTTTGAAAGCCAGACAGCCACCACAATGCAAGAAATTACAAATCAGCTCATTTCCCCAAGATGTTTGGCTTCCATGAATCTACATTTTCTGATTGAAAAAGCATTCAATTAAAATGACAACCAGATCCAACTTAAATGAGGCATAGGAGGTCAGGAATATCTCTTGAGCTTGAGATGTCTTAATCTTGTCCAAGGAACATCTTTCTCTATCAATAAAGCCAATTACTGTGGAGCAGTGGGCAGAAGTCAAAGGCCCAGAAGTTAAAGAAATGCAATGATACTTCTTTTTCCTTCGTTATTGGGAGAATTCCATATCACTGATATTTCAAGACTTACTAGTGGCAAAAGCTTGAGCAAAAACTTTTCTGCCAGTAACAAAGGAAAAAAGGAGGAGGGAAGAGGGGAAAGCAGAAAATTTGCTTCTACTCTAACCCAAGAACAGCAACAATGGCATATATCCTAAAAGCATTCCATTACATAGGTGTCCTATATTCCAGTTACTCAAACTGTAACGTGCAGTCACAATCAGCTCTGCAAACAAAGTGGCAGCAGGCACTAAATTTGCCTTTGTCTGAGTTTCTTTGCCCTACCCAAGCTGCCCTTAGTGCTGAGCAGACCTAATACCTCTGTATTTCTCTTGCTGCATCCCTGTCCACTGTGACTCACACAAACTTGCCCCTTCAGCACACTACACAAATGTTCAATAGAATTTTTATTCCTGCTCTCCAGATTGTTAAAAGGAATGCTAAGTAAATAGCACAAAATTAATGTGATACTCACAGTATTGCATATTCATGTTGCATATTCTCAGTATTGGCAATTTTCAGTGACAAAATGGAGAGAGATCCATGCAAAAGCAGAGAAAGAGATCCACTGAGTTCCACAGCTCCAAGATGTTCTTTGCAGGTGGAAAAATACACAAGCTAAGAAAGCTTCAAGTAAAGTCTTCAGATCTCTGCAATCTCATGCTCATTGTTCACTAAACTTTGTTTTTTATATTTTTTACAAAAGTGCATTATCCATGAACACAGAATTGTCCCAGGCTAATATCTGGGAAGAAAAAAAAAAGAAGACAGCTTATAAAGTTGTGTCAGCTCTATTCACACACTGCTCAAAATGGGCAAATCCAAGAAAAAAAGAACAAGCATGTCTCCTCTTTCCTTCATCCACACACTTCTCTAAGCTGAAGTGCATTAGCAATCTCAGATAGCTAATTCTTAATCTTCAGCAAAAAAGGCCTTGAAGTTTTTCATTTCCATAATTTAAACAAATCTGAGGACTCTTCTCTGGCAGGATTTTTTCCCCCTTAATCATTGCTATGACTCATAAATAGGATACAAAACTGTAAAAGGTGCTGTGAACTCCTTGCCAGAATAGGCACTCCAGAATGAAGTGGCATTACTGCTTCTTATCTTGTGCTTCTCATTATTCATCTGTTTCATGCCTCTTCATTGCCAAGATAGTCTAACATTTCTGGTGCTTCACATTTCACTGAGGTTTAATTGCATATAGCTTCAAGGAGGAAGAAAGGCAATAAAGACAGACATGAGCTAAGGGATTTTGGCTTAAAGAGTAAATGTTGTCACTGCACAATTTAGACAAATTAACTGGGAGGGTGACACAAAGGATTGAAAACAGACCTGATGTAGGGATATACATGGAACAGACAGACTGACTTTCACATTAAATAAGATAGAGTCAGTGAATACATTTCCATCTGGTAAAGTGGAAGAGTTTTATAAATATAAATGAGAATGTAAGAGGGTTCCTTAACAATGGTCTCAACAAATGTAGGGAGAAACACAGTAAAATATCTAGATTAAACTTGAGCAGTGGGAATTATCGGGAAGTTCCATTATGGATTCATACAGAAATTCTAGCAGCCAACTCAAGAAAGCCCCTTCTTTTGTACCACTGGTCAGTATGATGGACTCAAATATTACTCTTGGCCTCTTAAAAAGCAGTGCATTGGATGAGACCCAGACAGTGGTGTTTGAGCTGAAGTTACTGCCATTCTCTGCCCTATAACCACAGGAGGCAGTCTGCAGTCTAACAGGACTGGCCCAAATCAGCTCATATAGATCATGATACCACTGGCTCACTGACGAGCACAGAAATTCCTTCCCTGATATGGATTTCCCACAAAGCTTGCATTTCACTGAACAATAATGTACAATTTGGACATTCATTATAACCTATTGAACTCCCTTACAGACATACAGGCTTCTAAAATCATCCTGCAGGATCCCGACAGGGATGTGATATACCACCTCACACTCAAGCACACAGCAAAGACTTGTTTATTATGTGCAAATTCCTGGGAGCCATATCTCAAGAGATTTTTGTTTCTGATCAGCCTGACCACCTTGTCCAGCACGCAGAAAGGCTCAGTCCCTGCCTTAACTGCCTATTCCATAAGGAGTAGCAACTACATGTTCCATAAGGAGCAGCACCGTGTATTTTGGAATACAAGTCTGTATGTGACCCTCCACTGCTGATCTTCCAGGAAATCTCTTGAGTTTCTCCTTTATATACACAGTAAACCAAAATCTCACCAAAATCTCAGGAACAGTGAGACATTCCTAGCAATGACAAACTTCCTGGAGATTTCTCATCCTTGCTGTGGAAGAGATTACACAGTCTTAGAAGAAAAGGAAAGTGAAGAGAGGACCCAGGTTCTGGTCCTCTTTTTTTTTCTTTGTTTCTGCTGGACCCAGGTTTTGTTCACGTTTCTTGTGAAAGACTGTGTAGGAAGAACACAATCAAGGAAACTGACATCAAAAAAGATGAGGCTGCTGAACACAGTGCTACACCTTGTGCAGACAAACATTCACAGTGAAGGGTAGAATGATCACTGCTAACACTAGGAATACAACAATTCCTGTGGAACTTGATCTGCTCTGAGTATGTCACACCAGACAGCTGCTTTTAGTGGATTCAAGAAAGGCCCTTCAGAACTACAACTTGCCATTGCAGAAACAAGACCTTAGCTGTGGGACAAAATTACCCCAAATCCCTGTCTGCACCCAAGGGGTTTTAGATTCCTTGGACAAACAGGATTTCATTATTTGGAATAGGGTTGTTCAGAGGGCATCTAGTCTAATTATCTGTGGAACTTCAAGTATATGCAGCACAGAGTCCCTAACCTGTGATAACATCTGCAATGACAGCTTTTGTTTAAGTCATCTTCTGTTGTCTCAGAAGCAGAACCCAGTATTTTCCATTTCATTTTTATATATTCAGGAATTGTACATGGCTTCTGCAGCTGCAGTTTTTGAGTAACCAGAATAGATCAAAATGTCTGGTGGCTGAATTAATTTACAAATATTAAACACTACCAATATTTGAACAGTCAAAATATTTTGTGTCTACTCATCTATAATTCTGCTATTCATTAATATTTCAAACATTACTTGGGTTTTCTGTAGGTCAGATATCTGACTTTGTACTAAGTGTTTCTGCCAGTCAGGTGCCAGACACAAACTTAGACTGAACTTTTTATTCATTTATTGGCCAAGTAGCATCTGTGAGTACAGAAAAGTGCTGGAAATCTCTGCTGGCTATTGCTGCTGTGTGAGACAACTGGGATAAATTAAGAACTAAGAAAAAGTGAAAACTCTGTGCTTACTTAAAAGTTATTTCAAAATTGAACTATTTTAAATAACCTTTTATCTACTTGAAGCAGAAATCTAAAGCAGTTAGATAGGCCTATTTCTTTCCTAATATTTCTCAGGGTGGTGAATCATCCCTGTACTGAAGAACAGGAATCAGATCTTGCATGTCTTCACACAGATTTAGAAATTTTACAATAAACCTTAATCCGTTTTTCACTCTCCAAATCTTCCTTCAGAGCATCTGGCATTACTGTAATATATAACTGCTCTAAAAATATAGTGCTGTAGGCAGCAACTTTGACAGTGAAGACCTGATGGAACACCACCAGTCCAGCCCCCACCACGTCTCATTTCTGCTCATGCCTCCTTTGCTCCCTACAGCAATGAGAGTAAGGTGGGTAGAGCTACAGCCACCCACAGCCTTCCCTAGATACACAGGGACTTGCCAAAATGGTATTTAGTCTCACATGTCACAAAAGTTCATAGCACTCCTTGGCAAATAGGGCAAAAGATGAAGGTCGTAAAAAAATCTGAAAGAGACTTCACAGGGGTACACCAATCAATAATCCATGGCAATTTTAATTTACATCATGGAGTTTTCTTACCACATTTTGAATTTCAAATGCCAGCAGTTTGGTCCTTCAGATTGCATTATTAGTCTCGAGACAGGAAGGAGAGAAGTTTCTGACACAGTAGCAAAGTCTCCCTGAAAGCAAGTTCAGGCTAGGAACACACAAAACCCAGCTCAACTTCATCTCTAAACTGAGACAGAAATAGGAAAAGGGAAACAGGCCTGACTGGACTGAACTGTAACCTCTTCAGCTTTCTCACATAGCTGAGAGAAACTCAAACATGCCCATTTCCATCAAGGGTCTTTTGAACCAAGATGGTAGAAAGAAAACAGCAGGTTCCATTTAGGCACTATCCACATCACTGGATACCTGACAGACACATTTTCCAAAGTTGCATTATCAGTGGCATTAATTGAAGACTAGGGTAGCATCAATCACTGTCTTCAAATGTGTGTCCTGACTATTAAAACTAGAAAGCACAGGAAATATTAAAAGGAAATTTTTCCACCAGAGCAGGAGGGTGTCAATGCAGTAACAATACAATGGTTGCTCTTTTATGTATCAGATGAAATACACTGAACACCGGCAGGGAATTTCTTAGATTGCTCCAGGAGCTGGCTGGGCTTCTGTAGGGCTTTCATATGCCTCCACCATACTTGTCAGTTTTTGGTAATATCTGCTTATCTACACACAAGTTTTCCTAAACTGTTGCTCATTTTTCACAACAGGATTCCAGGCAACAAGGACATCATCACTACAGACAAAGTTTAAAGATTTTCAGTATCAGCAAAATTTCATACAACAGCAGCGTTATCAGGAAAAGCTGAGACGTGTTCAAAAGGTTGCTAATAATATCCCAATCCATGGGCAGAGCTTCAAAGAAAGCAAACAAACCTGCCAGACTTCAGGTTAGGACATCTGGCAAAATCCTGACCTTGTATCTGATTTGGGGCTAGAACCAATAAGCACTAAAATTTCCTTAACCACATTTTTGCTCAACTTTGATCTACTGAAAAATAAGCAAAGCAAGTTCAAATTTACCACTGCAAAAGCAATAGAGAAGACAGTCTGGCTAACAAACAAAGGACTACAGCTAAGTATTTAAGAGACATATGTATAGCTGAATGTTTTATTTTTATTTCAAATGCCAATATTCAGCCATCTGGCTCTCCTTGAGGCTTTTCTTTTGTGGCTTTTTTTTTTGTAATGGCCAATTTTCAATAGTGAGGATTAAAAACATAAAAGAAAAGAAAACCAAGTTCTTTAGTGCAAACCACTGCAGGCTACCAATCACCACTACATTGTTAAACCTACATGAAAAATAATATCAAGGAAGTTGCTATTTTCTAAAACAGTCCTTTATTATCTAAAATATTCATTCCCTCTATATCCAACTACATGTTAGTCTTAATGGCCATATGGCCAGTCATTTTTAATTAACAGCTTTTATCTAAATAAATACAGTGCTTTGAATATTTAAAAGATTTGTTCATTAAGAACCCTCAACAAAAGGTGGAAAAGGCTCTTCTCACAAAAAAGAAGAGAAGGATATAAATCCCATGAGGTGCCTGCAGGCAGGAAGCAGCACATCAAGTGTGGTATTGACCATTTCCACAGAACAACTACCACATGCCTGCACAGAAACTTCAGTGTGAAGCAGATAAAACACCAGATTAATTAAAAGGAGGTCTGGGGGCCAAAAAGCCACATACACGCAGCTTGTATAGTGCAAAGGGTCTGATAGCTTGGATTAGCCTTAGGTCAGAACTTTCCTCTACAGCATAGCTCTGAGAGACCTCAGTATTTTTCTGACTTTACAATCTAATAATGTGCTTTCTGGTTTTTCTATAAGAAGCGTGAAAGGCAAAGAATTACATTAATTCCTCCAAACTTCTCATCCTGGCACAGTATTGTGGTTGTTTCCAGTGGGACAGTGCAGGTTAGTGCTGCCTCATCATGGCAGGGGCTCTCAGTTTTTCTGTCCATACTGCCACAATGTTTTGTGCTGCAATAACAACCAAATTCTTGTTAGACTTCCGCATCCACTCATTATTTCCTTTCCTTGTTTATATAAATTGCCATGGCTTGTTATTTGTCAGGATTCATATCTGTGAATTTAATGGAACTGCATTTCTCAAAATCACCCACACTGTCAACAGCTCTAATTTGTTTATGTCAAATAAGTTCCCCCCACCCCCCTCCCCATTTACCCTTCTGTTTCATACCATTTATATTAGCTTGTCAGCTGGGATTTTATTTATTTATTTGCTTTGGAAGGTTTGCTTCTGTGAAACCCTTATGGCAGAACCACACAACTCAAGGGACAAGTAATCAGATATAAATAGTTTCCAAACCAAGCTGTTACTTCCCTTTCAGTTCTGGTCAAGTGCAAAAGAAGTCCTGAGCAGTTTTTTGCATTTTCTAGACAAACAGATATGAGAGGGTTTGGGATTTTTCTTTTTCAGTTTTTGTCCTTTTTTAAAATTACTCTTGTTCAGATTTTTTTAGCTCTGCAGATTGTCCTATTTTACTAACCAACACCTTAGAAAGTGACTAAGAAACACCAAGTGAAAATTTAGATACTTAAATATTTAATTAACTCTTTCAAACAGCAGCATTGTAATAGCAGAGAAGTCTTACAAGGCACCTGATCTTTCACAATAATTTAAGAACCAGGACTGCACCTCTTCTCAAAAAGGTACCATGTAGGACAAAGAATAGAAATATTCTTTCAGTAGATAATTCCATACAGGACTTCGCATTGAGGTTACGTCTAAGACATTAAAGCAAGTATAAGTTTTAATATGTACTGATAAAAAATTAAAAACACTGGTGTGGTATTATATAAAGTGTCTGCATGGTGCTTGGTGCTGCAGAAACCCAAAGTCACAGTGGACCTTGAGTGTTTAGAAAGGACTGAAATAATCTGCAACACAGCAAAACAAAACTCATTGCATGAAAAACTAGATGAATACTCAAACAGGATTTCTTTTTGTTCAGATTTAACATGACTCTTTACAAATATCTAAGGCTTTGATGACTTAGAAGAAATTGGGATAGAAGGGAAGAACTCGAGTATTTTGCTCTGCTAGATCCCTGATCCTTAAAACCAAATCATTGACCCAGAAGGTGTTCTGCTGGTTGTGCAGTGTTCAGTATTCCCAAGGGGAAAATCCATCCAAATCAAGGCATGCTTTTGAAGGGGCTTGGTCGATCACACCTCCTCCTACTCCACAGAGCAGCAGAAGCTGCAGCACTCCTGTGCTGTGGCCTTGCCCCATCTCCAGCCTGTACAAAAATGTGCTGGCAGCACTCTGTGACAAAGGCATAGAGCATCTGGGCTCTGCAGGCAGCCACAAAACCTTGCTCTCTCCTCTCCACCCATTTTTGTGCTGCACCAGTTTAATCAAGCAGTAAGCTACTTCTGTCTGGGCTCTTAGCAGCAGCCTGGCACACTACCTCATTTGCTGGCCAATCTGCTTTTTAGACCTTTAACAGTAGCTCAGCATTATGAATGCTCAACACATCATATATAGCTATTGTGGTGTTTCTGATTTCCATTTTATTTTGGGGACTAACTTTTTCCAGTGTAAATAGTGTGGCACTATTTACAAGCTGGCAAAGCCTGAAAAAATTATTAATAGGAAGTATTTCTGGATGTTATGGCAGAGTTGTGTTTTAAAAGGGAACAGAAGTTCTATATTTCAGTTATTATGCTGAAAGCAACAAACTCCCTTTATTTCTAGTTAAACATTTTCTGGAATTTGCATATTTTTATTTTCTGTAAATTTTATCTTAAAAAACGCCCTTAGACTACACAGCAACAATATTAGTGCAGCTACTGTGTCATCAATGCCAGAAAAAGTTGCTATTTTAGGAGTTCATAGATCTCTTTTCAGCTTGAAAAAAATAAAAATGCCCTGGGCTAAATTTAGCTCTCAAGATTTCAGCACTTATGCAGGGGAAGGGACTTTGAAATTCTGGAATGTCCCAAGTCAGTGTCCTTGCTTTCCAGATTACAGTAAGACAGGGTTTATGCCCATATTTGCTAAGTTGAAAAAAACCTGCCATAAAGATAACAACAACTATGTAGGATCAACAGCATGCACTAATTTTACAAACAATTTGAAACTAATTTAATCTCTGAATTATAAATATTCCAAGTACTTCAACAAGAGTTGCAATCATCATTACTCTCCTTGCAGCACACTGAGATGGGACTGATCCCATCTGCTCAGCCAAAAAAGCCAGAAATCAAAGTTGAAATCAAGGATCCAAACTTTGGGACAAAACCCTGAGTGTTTCTTGATCTTCCAGTCTTCTTTAATAAAGTTATATCTATAACTTTATAGTTATACCTATAACTTTGAAAACCTGCATAAACAATTCTGCTAGACATTGATATCATCACTTTAAAATATTCCATATGCTACATGATTCACTGAAAATAAACCTAGAAAAGCTGTGTCATCCACTGCCCTGCTCCAAGTCAAGAGAGAGATACATAATCCAACCCACACAGGTGCAATTAACCTGTCAATAAAGGCTTCCAGTGATGGAAAACAGACCATCTTCTTGTGAAACCTTTTCCAGCCTGAAAATGCAGCTAACAACCACTTATTCTGCTCTCAGTGGGAGACAGAGAACATCAGTTCACCTTTCTGTTCACAACAAACTTCCACACGCTCTAAATTAATCATCTGAAATTCTCCTCATAGCTTGTGTTATCTAAGAGAACAAGGATAAAGCAGAAAGCTGCAGGTTTTGTCCATATCATTCTCAAAACATGGCCCCTAAAAGAGAACCTCCAGGACTGTAATAAGGTCTTACATAGTATGAGTCTATTCAATCACCCAAGAGCAAGTTCATTGCTTTTTTTCAAGCAGCAGCAGAAGCTTTATGCTCAGTTTGTGGTCTTCTAGCAAGTATTTTCAGTGGTACTGCTGCCTACCCACTTTTTCTTCATTTTATATTTGATGATTAATCTGCCATTTCCTTCTTACACAGCATCACCTGGGTGAACTTGGGTGAATCTGGAGGATGTGTCACCATTACTCAATGGTTCCCTTTAAGTATTGCGTGGGAAATTGCCGTTCTTGTAAATAGGTCTTTTATACAAATAGCCTAACTTCTGTCAGAAGCCAGTGCTCCAGACAACAAGAGCAATGATAGCTGTTGCCACAGTATCTTTGCTACCAATTCACTTTAGTCTTAGTAATGACTTTTCCTTTGTTATCACTGTTTGATTAATATTAAGCACCAATTAAGCCTCAGTTCTTCACCAACAAAACCGTGAACAGATGGTGAGGACACGTTACAGTGATAAGGCCAGAGCTGGCAGTTCTAAAACTACAGAGCATATCCTGGGATAATCACTAAAAAGGAAATAATACATTCATTTTTTTATCATTTCTGCTTATCAGAAGGAAGTAGCCCTGGGTATTCATTGTTCTAATTGAGATGAAAGACCTTTGGAGTCAATCAATTGCATTTGTATATACAAAAAGACTAGCTAAGTCAACAAACCGGCATCCATGCAGGTGCCTCAAACATATTAAGGACTTTTATTTATCCACTGGGCAAGACCCAGAAGCATAATATATGAGAAAAAACTTGCCTCATTCACACTGCCTTGACACTGCTGCAGTGGAGTCCTGAAGGCCATGAACTGCAAGGGGATGAAAGTAACAGCCCAGAGATGAGAGCTGAAACCTCACACTAAAATCCTTCTCCTTTCAATCCAAGGGAGGCCTTTCAAGACAGAAACTCAAAAGTTACTGAGAATGACGCTTCACTCACTTCTCCCAGTTACAGGCCATACATAGACATCACATCACTTCAGAAGGCTGCAAGCAGCTGCCCTTCTTGTTCCTTAGCCCAGCCTTTTATCCCCTCCTGTTGATGCACTGCCCTGTGTGCCCTCTGTTCCCTTTGGTGGTTGGTCAGTGCCCCTGGGCACTCCATGGCTCATTGCTGTCAGTGCTGCTCACCTGCTCCTCACAGCTGTCCCAAGTACTGCAGTTTAACCTGCAATTAAATACTGCTTCTTAATTGTGTATTTGTTTGTTTTACAAGAATATGCTGACCCAAAATACTCAAGTTCATTTCTATTCTCACAAACACCAACATAGCAGCAGTCTGGTTTTTGGTTATCTTGCTGCTCTGTGAACTTTTATAACTAGATTTACAATCATGGTTTAGACTCAAACATCCTCCACAGTTATCCCAGGAACTTTATTCACTTATGGTGTAGGATCATTGAGAAGGAGGGGGGCTTTTCAAATTCTCTAACAATAAAAGAAAACAGCACAGAACAGTACTTTTAAATATCTCTCTTTTAAAGTAAAAAAGAATTTGTAAATAGTAATGAGTTGTATTATTTGAAATACTATTTCTTTTTCTTTTAGCAGACAAAGCAGTCATCTGAAACATCTAAGAGTTACATCTTGTTTCTAGCCAAGATCATTGTTTTCACTCACTAAATGCATGGAATGTACTCCATTAGGCAATTGCCTGCCCATCAGTATGCAATCTAACACAGGGCACCTTGAAGACATTATATTTGATAACCATCATAAGGATTGATTAAACTGCCTCAGATTAGAGTATCTTCCTCCATCAGGTTAGTTAGTTATGCTAACACCATGTGGCAGTACTTACCAAGCAGATGAAGTTCTACAGAAATTTTGAGGATATAATAGATATTTCATTTTGACTTGAGATTAGCACACTTTTCCCCCAACTGCTGAAAAGCATAGATGTATAAATACATTAAAGCCAACAATTTCTACGTCCCCTTTTGCTATTTAAAACTTGCTTAATTAAGGCATTTAGATTTCCACATATTACTGCAAAGTGATTGACCTAGAGGCTGCTCTGAACCTTACAGATGAAAGAGTTTACTGGAAATTCTTCTCAGCAGCTGTTTTCCAATTTCATTTAGTTTTAAAATCTTTTAAAAATACCTTTTTTTTCCTTTTAATCATTATTGCTAAGTGAAACTTCTTTAGTCGGCCAGAATGGGAAAACATTTTACTGTCTCACAATGAGTCAGTTCCTGAAAGCTGATTCGCTTCTCCTTCATAATGGCTCTAAGCATTCAGTTATCAGCAGTGATTCCCAAATAATCATGCTGGACAGTTACAATGAAGTAAAATTTACTTTAAAGCAAACAATTGCAAATGCAACACGCTTTGGTTCTCCCAATGTCAGTTTAAGTATTATTGCCTATTAGGAGCAACAACAGCACAGCTGAAGCAGTTAATAGAAATGAGCACAAGTCACAGTTTTAATTGCAGCCTTAGAGCCATATTCATTAGAGATGAACACATTTCCTCCACGTTGCAAGCAGAATGCCTGCATACATGATTTCAAAAGCACTGCACATCTGTTCAGAATATGACTCCTGTCTTCCCACACCAACCTGATGTCTCTGATGAGGACAAGAACGCTTCTCCCCTAAATTTACCAGCTGTATAATATAGAACAGTGAACACCTTAAAAAAAATTACACTTTGATATGTCCTTAAACAAGGCTTTACAACAAGATGTAATTTTAAATAATGTGCACAGATACATGGAAATATACTGGCTTGATTTTCTTGCTATACCTCTCCCATTGTAAGAAATTGTATTTCCAGTGCCAGATTTAAGAAAATTGCACCTGTCAAACAAAAACTGTCTCAAACTCTTACTATTTCTTAAAAATGGAAGACAGTACACGATGTTATTTGCTGCACTGGTAGAGATCAGCTATTGCACAGGAATAATTTACATCTCTGGAGGAAAAACAGTGCTTGTAGAACTCTTAACACCACCTTGTTAATACTAGTTCACACAGCCTTCAAGGATAGAACATCTTGTAGTTTTCCTTAAAAGTCCCACAGCAGAGTTTGGGAACTGCAGCTGGAAACAGAGAGGTAAACTGGGCAGCAAAACCCCAGGGAAGGCTGAATAACCTTGAAAAGGATCCAGTAAAGGATCAGAGTGAGCGAAGTGGGAAATGAGGATTTCGCTGTTTTGAAACTAAATATAACAGTCCATAACATCTGTCTAAGAAGGAAAACGTTAAAAATGCAGATCTGGAATGCTGCACTGCTTACTGTGAGCTGCTAAGTGTCCACAAACAAATTCCAGCCTTCCAGACACTGAAATTTAGGGAGGATCACTCACAATGGATGCAGGGAAAATAAGATTCTCTTCAAATGAGAAGAGATCAAACTTTAGGATGCCAACCCACAGGCAGAGAAAAAGATTCAAAGTAGCACAGGGCAGATAGATCCATTCCAACCCTCCAGACTTTAAAAAGCCAGAATGAAACTCCAGAGTCCAAGAGGTTGTTGAGTTTCGTTTCACTGTTTATCAGTACTTGACAATAATCAAGTGTTTCAAACAATCAGAGAGCTACAAGAGATTCCAACATAAAACAGGTACATTTTTTGGGAGGACACATTCTATAAAGAAGAAAAAAATTTAGCGTTGCAAGGCTTTTTTAAAAGATATATACAATCATAGAATCATTCGAGTTGAGAAAGCCCAATAAGATCATCAAATACAAGCATTCACCTGGCACTACCAAGCCCACAACTAAACATGTCCCCAGGTGCCACACCTACATGTGTTTTAAATATTTCCAGGATGGTTTTTCCAATACTTGACTACCCTTTCCATGAAAAATTTTTTCCTAGTATCAATTCTAAACAATCCCTGGTGCAACTGTATAATTCTACAGCATATTCTATACTTAAACTCTGAAAAGGAGTTCCTCTTGATGATTTAGTTTTAATTTTCTACTGAAAGAAATAGGTAGATATCTTGTTAGGGTCAGTAAAGTCTGATGAGTCCATATATTAACAATTACAGTACATTGCATTAGCATGTAAACCACATAAAGTATACTTTAGGGTTAATAGAGTATGGTTTGTCATTTATTAATTAGATGACATGTTAAATATTTTTATTCCTTCAGAATGAACTCTACTTTTCTCATTTGAAACTCAATACAAACATGAAAGGAAAATAAAAACTGCAGAAGAAATATGCAACTTATCCTGAAATTAAATTTGGCTGCACTACCAAAATATTTCAGTGACATGCAATTTACTAGAGACAACAATTGCCAATTTCACCTAGTAAAAATAATTCTCTTCCTGTTCCTGCATCAGCTGAAAGCTGTATTGGCTTCTGAGCTCCTACCTATGTCTTGCCTTTGGCTCCAACCTCATCAACATTTAAATGGTGGTCTCCGAGGAAACAAAGATGTTTTCAATTCTGCGCTCCAGATCTTCATCTGCATTTATCCATAATGCACCTCAACCTAAACTGCTGAACAAGGGAATTATGCCAACAGTAATGCCACCATGCACAAACCGCAGAAATAGCCTTCAGCCCAACGGCCAAACCTTTGCTCCCTTTGCCTGTCTGGATTCCAACAGCCCACACACAGACAAAAAAAAAAAAAAAAAAAAAAAACTGAACTCTGACTACCAAGACCCTACTTGAAGCTTAGACTTACATTTTAGGCTCATTCTTTTTAAGCTATGAAAAGAAAAAGAAAAAAAAGGAGAAAAGATTAAAAAGTTTAAAAACACACCTTAAACTAATATGGTGATTTTTCATTCCATGTCATGAGCTATACCTTTAGAGCATTAACCTATATATATCCTCTGTAATGACATGTAACATTCTGGAAAGCCATGGAACAATCCTATCAACCACTCTGTTACTCGCTTTTTCTCCTGATGTTTTTCCAATAACTAACAGTGTCTAGTTGTAGGGGGATACAATATGGGTAAATGAAGATGGTGTAGAATGTAATCTTACCCCAAAAAGAGTTGGGGCTGAGCCAATTATTAAGGATTAGGAGCAGGCCTGATGTTAACAGGCCACAGCTGTAGCCAATCAGAAGAGTGTTATAAAAGAGTGGATTGGTTGGTTGATGGGAACTGGAGTCACTTGGCTGCTGTGAGGACAAGGAAGAGGCAGTGCTTGGAGGAGCTGCCTACAAGAAAACATCAAGGAGATACAAAACTCTAATAATATAGAACCCTTGCACTGTAGTGACAATAGAACTCTTGCAATGCAATGACACCATCCAGTTTATTCTTGCTTTATGTTTTTGCAGTTTTTTAGGTGTAATTAGAATTGATTTCAAGAGCAACAAGAATTGGCAAGGTTCCTGGTGCTTACCTCCAGAAAGTATATCATAGACATCAAGCTTACACAGCCATTGCTTGGAAACAGCCTCCTCTGGTAAGTCAAGCTTCTTTTTACACTGCAAAACTTAAGTCTCACTCCCGCACAAAGCCTGCCCACCTCCTGCTAAGATCCAAAGAAATCTAAGGATGTGGTCATAATTAGAGAGGTGACACTGCTAAACCAGCCACAGAAGAAACCTCTCGTTCTCATCCTCTGCAGCTTTTTGCCTTCTCTTCACACCCATTTTTGATGTAGCCTCCCAACCCTGAGACTTTGGCCTCAATGTGAAGCATTAAGTCTAACACAGCATGAAAAGCAGCAACAGAAACTTCCTAGTAGTGAAGTCAGAGAAAAGGAAAGAAAAAGGAATTCACACAGTTAGAAACTGTTCTCTAAGATGCTCCTGTGTCAGCTTCCAGAGGGAAATCTGCATCTAGAGAGATGGGGCTGCTGGGCCCCCTGCTGCTCCCCAAATAGCTCATCCAGGCATTTCCCTCCTGCTCCCATTGAAATGCAATGCGCTAATTCATGCTCACCAGCATGGCACTCTCCAGATGGCACAAGTCTGCTCTAACTTTTTCTATTGGAAAGGAAACTTCCTCATTGAACCTGCATGGCCTATAGTGGGGTGTCTTACTGCAGTCTGGATTTCTGCTCCCTTTCTCTTAAGGTTTATGTATTGCAGCCAGCAACCTCTACTGTGCTTTGGGGTTTTTTTTATAAAATGGAATAACACATAGCAGCACAGTCTTTGAGAAACACTGGAAAGAAGTGTAGGTCATCAGAAGGAGAAAAAACTGACAGTAAAAATGGTGTTTACAATGGTAATTCACAGACCTGAGGTAAGGGACTCACAGCATGATGTTCACAGCTACTGAAAAAGAAGCAATCTTTTCATTAAGCATCTCCATGAAGGCCTCAGGTCAGTATGATAAATGCAGGATTGAAAGTAGTTTGTTTAAGTGCTTAGCTGAATTAGACCATCGGAACAGTTATCTTTTATATCTTCCCAGGCCAGTCACCATCAGGAATGTTGTTGCAGTGCAAGAGTTTGTGCTTGTAAGAAGCTGCTAGGGTACATCTTCACTTAAAGAGACCTTTGTATAAGGAAATTAATTCCAAATCAGGAGATGTAGACATTGTGGTCTTCTATTATGTTATTTCTAAGAGTGTCAAACCCCTAAGTTTCTAGTCCAAGCCTCTAAGTTTGACAACCCCTACATTTTTAGTCCAAACACATTAAAACTTGATTATCTAGTTTGATCTGCATGCTAAAAGAAATTCTATTTGTAGTCAGTAGTCTGCCCATCAGAATTGGAGAAAAAAACCATGGGAAACAAGGAAAGCGATTGATAGAAGGTACCTGAAAACTGGGATTGCTGCAGCCGATTTGTGAGGCGAGCCTTTGTGTGGGCCCATCAGCCTTGGTCGGCTGCACAAAGGCACCATGGTGGCAGTGAGGCACTGGCTGGCCATGTCCTTCTCTTAGGGGCTGCTGTGGGGTGCCCAGCCCCAAGGCCTGGTGTGGTGTGACTCTTGTGCTGCCCCATGTGCTGTGATGGAGAGTTCCCTGGCCCAGCCTGCCATACTGTGTCCAGGCCTGCCTGATGCTGCCAGGCCTCACCCCACGTTCATGGCGCCGCAGCTTGTGCTGCGTGGCTGCAGGATGTAACACCAGGCAGCTGCTGCTGGGAGAGGGCTCCAAGCCCTCCTCTGGCTCCAAGGAAGGGGAATGAACAGGTGGCAAATGTCCCAAAAGGGAATTCACAGAACAATTCATTTGTGACAGCCCCTCTCTCGCTGCTGAAAATTGAGTTGCTTAATGAGTGTTATTCCACTAAGGGGTTTTTTTTCTGCCTCATTTCTTGGGACTATTTGAGGATAATCATTGACAAAAGAATGTGGTTAGGGCTGTGCAATTGTTTTCATGGTTCCCTCTGCCTGCTATTATAATAACTGCTCTTTTTTATATTTTTATACTTTTTTTTTTGTGGCATAATGGACGGTTCTGACCTCCTTCTTTTGAGAACCCTGCTCGCCTCTGGCTTCTCCACAGAGGTCAAAATGGAGAAGATTAGCCTTGTTTTCTGCTTCAGAGGTAACGCTGTTTTCCTGTAAGCAGCTGTGGGCCGGTCTGCAGAGTCAGTATTTCAATGTGTTTAAAAATGCAGAAGCTTCAATAAATGCAGCTGAAAGGTTTGGTTGCCATGAATGAAAGGGAACAATGTTTTTACTGAGCTGTGCTTCCTCAGGGAAACTGAAAATGTGGAGCACAAGTGTAAGTACAAAATGTAGGGGGGTTTATGGGTCTGAAGCATGTATCAATAAGAAATTGTAGCAAAAACAATTAAGTATAAATAACAAATGTAGTGTAACGGCAAGCCCAAGAGCAGTGTTTTCAATGAGATAACAAAAATAACAACGGTAACAAAAATAAAACCAACAACTCCACACCCCCACTGCTATTATGGACAACAGGAATTACTGCTGATCCAAAGGGGTTTGAGCAGCCTAAAATGCAACGGTTGAGACTCTCTCTTAGAGTCAAAGACAAGTTTGGTTAAGTTGACTTACTTTCTGTTGTTAAAGTATGAGTTTCTTTGACTGGAGTTATGAAGAGTATAAATTTACTATTCCTCAAATGACCACAGCAATAGGCTTGTCAAATCATTTGCTACGTAGTAAGTTACCTGAAGAGTTTGGATGTTCATGTAGTCAGTAAGTTTCTTTTGCAAGTATATAAATGCAGAGCACTTACATGGAACGCCTTGAGTAGTTATTTATATAGTAAGACCTCTTAGAAAATGCATGAGGAAAAAGAATACCCTCATGTTCCATACAGACAGGATAAATTATTTTATTAGACTTGTAATTCATTCCCTTAAACTGTAACTTTACCTTTGTTAAAATACAAAATGATCATGGACATCTCAGGCTGCAAAATCCCTTCCTCTGCATCCTGTTCAATGCTCTTGCTGTAAGGCAGGTTCTTGGAGAAAATCTCTTTTGTGAAAGGGTCTTGGGGTTGAGTAATTTATCTCAGAAGTGTGAAACTGCAGTAGAACACTTTAATAAGACATTTTGGCTCATGTCTGTCCATGCTGTTTAAAAATTGGTTGATCAGGTTTTATGACTTGTGGGGATGTATTGTTGCCTGTCTTGCGAGAGCATTCTTGGTGATTTTTTCTTTCTCAAATGAATGTAATACTTTAAATGTGACAAGTTTATAGCTACAAACAGTGGGATTTTCAAGTCCCTGAGGGAAATATGTACCCCAGAAATGCACGAAGCAGGTCTGATTTTTTTTTTTTTTTTTTTTTAGTCTTAGAGGGGACTGAGAGTGAAAATTTTCTTTATTTTTAATATCCATTTCTCTTTGTATGAAACAAAACCAGAAACTGATAAACACTGTTCTCAATGTTGTGGTTTCAAAAAGTCTGCTTAGCCAAGACCTCTTCTGAATTTTAGGTGCATAGATGATTGAGCTCTGTGTGATTCTTAATGAGTCAGGCTGTTAAGGGTCTTAAAGATCTAGAACAAATCTCCAAAAGGCTGACATATGTGAAAATCTTTCTTTTTCACGACAGCATTCTGAACAGCATGGCTTGAAAAGAGCAGTATGTTCTGACCTGCTCTAGTCTGTAACAGCTTAATCATATTTTCCCTCTCTGTGCTTTTCTTACAATAGACAATGATAATTTTCATTCTTTTCCTGTCTTTGGCCTTTTTGTTGTGGCTTGCAGCAGGAGCATTGCTATGTGTAGTGCATCTTTGTTTTACTACAGGCCTGGTCAAAGTTTCAGGAAATCATTTGTTGTCTCTAGCTCTGTTTCCTGTTCTGCAAAAGAGTGAAAATGCTATTGCATTGAAGAACCTGTGCAATCTACTTGTGAGAAGCCAGTAGTACTAAATGCCTTTTGATTTCTAAAAAGTCATCATTGTGATCCCACTAATCTGCTTTGTGTAATGCAGGTTGTTAGTTACTTGTATGAGTAAACGAGGTGTTGATTTGACTTCCTGAGGATTGTTGTAATACTGTACATTTTCTCAATATACATAATTGTAATTTATATATCTTAAAAGAAATGGAGACACTTTATTCTTTTTCGTCAGGCAGGGAGTATTAGTAGCTGCAGCTGTTTGCTGTTGTGACCTGAAAATGCATTAAAAATGCTTTTTTTGTGATTGGGAGGGTAAGAAACGATTAGATTTTTTCCCCATACCAGGAATTGAAGTCCATTTTAAAAGCGGTTCTTCTTTGTACTTCATGCATGAGTTATGGACTTTGAGGTTGGGGGCTTTTGTAATTTGTATCATGAATGCAAGGAGCAGCAGACTTGAGGTGGTAAAGGCAGGAAAGCTCTCCTGAATGCCTAGTAAGAACATCACTTTGCTAGTGTGTGATGAGAGCTCTTCTCAGCCTAGTTCGGTGAGACTGAAATGGCCGTGTTTTAGCTGCTTCCCCAGAAACCATATTTTTAGTAGTTTCTAAATTTTACCTGCTGTTCCAAATGTTTGTTCTCATTCAATTAGTGCTATTTATGTTCTTTTTTTTTTTTTTGTGGTGCTTATTTTAAATAATTCATTAAGGCAGTCTTTTACTCTTTAGCCTTCTCTTGATCAAGCTG